GCAGCCGTCTCTGCGGGGACCCTGAGGCTCACCCAGCGGCGGCTGCCAGGCAAAGGGGTCTGTCCCTCGTGAGGGTGAGTAAGAGGGTCATCCTCCCACGGAGAACTGCTCACGTAGGGAACGCTTGAGCCAGCTGAAGCAGCAAACGGCCACAGAAACAATCCACGGGTTGTGAGTTTGGGAAAATCCGAATGGTTGATCTGAAGCCACGACACTACTAAACAGCTCTCAGGTGGTGGGATTCCATTACACACGGCGACCAGTCCTCCGTGAGGTGGGGTTCACGGCGCCAGACCGTGGTCTCAATGAACGCAGTAGACTCAGATTCGTAGGTGCTAAGACATTTAAAATCAGATGTCCTGGGGCCGGCAGGTGACATGGTGGTTAAGGCACTGGTCTTCACATGGCCAACTGTGGTTCAAGTCCTGGACCCAGTGTCTTGAAACTCATTCCAGGCACATGTGCATACACGCCCCAAGTCCCAAGAGGAGAATGGAGAAGGGATTGCGGCATGGCCATACCCCAGGGGCTGGTTTCTTGCTTTCTCTCTCTCCATCTCTCTCGTGAACTCAGGTGCCCTATAGTAAAAAAATCTCTCTCAAAAAAATATATATTTCAAATGTCTTTGGCACAGATGTCTTAGGAGTTCAAGCCTTGCCTTGAAGGATACTGAGAGAATTGGTTTTAAATTTGGCCAGTTTTGTTGGGGTGAGCAGTGGCAACACTACTGGGGTGAGCACGTGGTCTCCTGCGTGGACAATGCCAGAGAGAACATTTATTTGGATGGGTTCGCTCTGGTGTGATTTCTAAGTAACTGGCCTCATTAAATCTCAGCCATTAGATCTGACGATGATCTCCACATGCTGTTGGTCTCCACATGACGAGTGTGTCACCGTAAGACTGCTCTGGCAGAACCCGCATACGTCATACCCAGTGTCTGCCATCTGCCTAGAAGGGCTGCAGCAGTATCCCCCCTCCAAATGCTCTCCTACTGCATGAGCTTGCCGATCCTCAATCAAAGGGCGGAATCGTGTCCTCTTCCCCCTGAATCTGGGCTGGCCTTAGGAACTTGCTTGACCAACAGAACATAGCAGAAGTTAGATTCTGAGACCTCAAGGTGAGGTGATGGGCAGTTTCTTGGCTTCTGCCTGGATCCCTTGGGAAGCTCCCTCTCAGAAGCCAGGTGCCCTGCCATGAGAAAATCAAGCCCCACATGGCCATGTGAGTGAGCCCCAGCTGAGCTCCCAGTCCATGGCCAACAACACTGCCAGCCTCTCGGAGGCGCCATCTTGGATATCCACTCCAGTCAAACGTTCCGATGACAACACCCCTGCTGACGCCAGGCACCGCATGAGAACTCGAGAGAGAACCCACCCGCTGAGCTGTGAGATGTTAGGAGAGGAGTATTTCAAGGCGCCACATTTTGTAGTGGTTTGTTACACAGTAAGATAGCTGGGACAGTACCTGAGAGCTAAAGATTTCTTTTTTATATTGTTATTATTATTATTTTTACCGTGCAAATTCAATGCCAAATGCTGTCCGGGTCTCAGTGCCTCCTCTCTGCTCGATGTGGCTGGCAGCTTCCACCACATCTTTTACGTTCCTGTAGTCATTGAGGTGAAACTCGTGGACCACGTCTTCTCCATACTGAACAACCCCAACCTGCAAACCAGAGGGCGGGGCGACAGCACATGGTCACCCCTGAAACGCAGGCTTTTTGTGGTGAGGATCCCGGGGACTTGTCTCTCAGGAGTGAGGGCGGCTAAGGACCTTCCTAAGAGGGTGACCACAGCTGAAAGGAAGCAGGTTCTGCAAGGCTCAGGGGTAGGTGGACAGGGGGTGCTTAGAGAGAAAGGAGACCATGGTTTACAGGAAGGCCCAGCAGGTTGCAATCTTCCCTCTTGCCCTTCCTACTTTTTTTTTAATGCCAGAGGGAGTGTCTGCTCACTGGAGAGAAGCAGAGAGAGAGAGGGAGGGAGAGGGCAAGAAAGCACCCCCTAGTGGGGCATGGTCACACCACAGTCCTCTTATTTTCCTATCCCGTTGGGATTCTGGGCACATATGTATATTTTTCAAGCTGCCAGGGCTGGGATTCAAATCAGTTGGCCACAGAGAATCCAGCTCCCTTAACCACTGCACTATGGGGTGGGCCCTCTTTCTTTTTTGGAAGTTTATTTGTCTGTGTCTTCCATGAGAGAGTCGGAGGGATGAGCACCCCAACAAGACATTCCCACCACGCTCCACCCCAGAGTCCTCAGCCAGCCCTGCTCGGGTCACGCACGTGCGGTGGGGCCTCAGGCTGGCCCAACCAGGTTTCTTTCTAAGACAGACAAAAGTCGAGCGTAGAATGCACGTGTGAAATCTCGGAATGGTGTCCTTGAAGGGCCATGGCATTGTTCGCCAAACTCAAACCAAGTTTCCTTGAGACTTGGAAGAGGTTCTTTTATCTCCCAAGGTGGACGCAATGTTGATGTTAGTACCCTTAAAATGAACAGAAAACCTCGAAGACCTGCAGTACGAATAGGATGAGACGTTCCCGTCGGCTGGGCCTGAGAGGCCGTTCAGTACAAACGCCCTCTTGCTATCGGACTTCCACCCACCCTCCTCCAAAGGCGGTCTCCCAGTGGTGGGGAGAGAGCGCAGAAATCCACTCCCTCTACCAGCTCTAATGGCCTCAGATCGACTTGAAATCTGCCACCATGCTCGCTTCTCTTCATTGGTCCTGCTTCAGCCAGGACAAGGAGCAAAGCTACCTGCTGGGCCGAGCATCCTTTCAGACACGAGCTGGCTGTATCCCCTCCTCCCTAGCTGGTTCTCATTGAGATAAATATGCTTCCTTCTCACCGGGCCTCCCTCAAGGGGTTCCAGGGCCAACTCGGCCTTTCCTGCCTTCTCATTCTCTCGCTGGCCGGAGGCTCGGGACTACATGGTGTCTATCCCGTCCCCAAACTGTCCCTTGGCGTGGCCTCCGAGATGGGCACCCTGGCCACAGGGCCAGTGTGAGCTGGCCTGCCTAGCTCGCCCTTTCACCTACGCCTCTGCAGTGCATGCCGAGATGCTCCCCCACACCACGGGTTTGGGGAGCCCTGGTCAAAGGCAGAAAGGGCCTTCGAGATGCTCACCTGGATCTGCCCTGGGCCGATGTAAAACTTCTTGAGGATGTTGATGAGGAAGTGCTGCACCTCCACCCAGGGGTAGATGCTGTTGGAGCCGTCCAGGACAATGACGATGTCCATGTAGGTCTGGCACCCTGGGAAGTGGGGACACGGCCATGGCTACCCGAGGAGCCGGGGTCTGCAAGCTCAGTTCAAAGGACGACAGAATGGCCCTGCTGCAGAGTCATTCCCCAGCCCAGGAGGCTGTCCTGGGCTGCCCGTTTATCGGGGCAGAGTGACTGCCGAGCTCGGAATTCTGGGTCTGACCCACCTCTCTGCTGCGGATTGAGCGCAGCTTAAATGAAGCCCAGCCACCTCTGCTTCTCATCAGGGACTCATCGGGGACTGACCACTGCCACCTGGCCACTGCTCTGGGGGCAGCGGCACCCCACAGATGAACACCTTGTTACCGTTTGTTCTACTGTGGCGGGCAGGCCAACACCTGCCCGGGTCGGCCTGAATGAGCGGATTCTCTGTCGGGAGGGGTATGGTGTAAGAGCTGTGAGGTTGGATCTGGCGTCGGGCTTTGCCACTCGTGTGACCTGGAGCCCGTCACTTCAACTTTCAGCCTGTTTTCTCTTCTGTTAAAGAGGCATAATGCTAGCAGACAGTTCCCACTAGGAATGAACGCGATGCTGCTCCGGAAGGGCTGAGCGCAAAGCCAGTGCTCCACAAATCTGCCCTGATCTGATTCCTATTATTCTCCAGCTCTCGGCAATGACGTCACTGAGTCCACCCGGCAATGACGGCAATGACGTCACTGAGTTCACCCGGCAATGATGTCACCGGGTCAGGGTCCTGCACTTCTCTGCTCTTAAACATAAAGGTTTCCTTCTATTCTTTTCATAGTAGTACCAAATTAAAAGGAATAATAAAATTCAACCAGGAAATTGAATAAAACATTGGTACCATGATAAATATTTAAAAAATACTCTTAAAAATCTAAGTAATTTATTTGTCTGTCAGTGGTTCGAACTACACTCTGACTCAGGGCATTGTTGATATTCACTGCAGAATGCTCACGCTGGCATGAAATCCACTTCCCCGCGACACTGCAGGAGGCTCGCGTGCTCGCCACCCCGGCCATCCCTGCATCGCGGGAGTTCACGCTGAGCGGATGGGGGCGGTGGCCCCCAGACCAGCGCCCGTGTTTGGTGGACACTCCTAAAGTGCTGGGTGTCCAGGGTGCTCAGCCCCTGGTTGTCCCACCTGCACGCAGTGGACGGCATGTGGTGACGGCGCCCTTCTGGCCGGACAGGCTGTTCTTTTCTATTTTGGTTAGTGCAACCCATGTGGACCGAGCTCTGCATCGCGGGTGGCCCTGGGGAGACCGAGGGAGAAACTCCTTGATTTGGACGAGTTCATGATCTCGTGGTAGGGACAGGGTTCTTTTATTTTTAAGCCAGTCTTATTATTAGAATGCATTTATTATTACCGATTTCTTGCTTATAATTTCAAGTTGTTCTTTTTAAGACACCTTGGGGGAACCTGGTTTTAGGTCTGTAGCTCCTAAACATGGCTGCATGATCCCCTTGAGGGTCTTAAACACACACACACATGTGCACACACATGTACACACGTGCACTCCTGGGCCGATCCCAGGCTTACTGAACTGGAACCTCACAGATGGCCCTCGAGTCTGCAGGCCTGCTGGTGGCCGGGTCAGGAGGCCTCCTTGATGGGAGGCTTAGGGAGCTGGGGTGGCTGATCTGGCCTGGGAAGAGAGCCGCTTGAGGGGTGGCCATTCTCTAGTGGGAGCCCCACGGTCTGCCCCCTTTCCCTCATGCACGCTCCTCACCCAA